GACTAATAGTGACTATCACTACATAACTTTGCTTCTAAGTCTTGTCTATCTTGCTTAGACTAATGTTGTTGTTTTAGTGGTAGTGACCTGATAGACCAACAAGCCCTTCACATTCCCAGGGAGACACCTCAAGTACATAGTCAGAAGAATCTCAAGATCATACCTTGCAAGCCGGCCATTTGACTAACTGAGGTACCTGCTGTACCATCTACAGACAAACCGCCTGCTCTCCTAACCTTGCAGTGTGCGGTACCCTGCCCAATCGCCTCCTGTAGTCGGCCTCTTTCCTAAGTTTCCTCTCATCCCTTGGCTCCAACTGCTGGAAGACTAAAGGAAGACTACGGGTGGTCCTTTGGGTGATCCTAACGCCAGGTAAATTGAGCTAATCCCTCACTGTCACTGCCATCTAGGAACAGAGTGTTCTCCCTGCACTTGAACTGTCTATGTCCTACCATAGTACAGAATCTGACAGGTGAAAATTTGAAAAATAAATAAAAAGAAACAATTACTGGCAGTAGTGGTCCCTGGTTCGACTGGGAGGCCCTCCTCTTCCCGGGAGGGTCCTGGTCGAACCGGTCGGTGGACCAGCCCGGCTGGCCTCCGGGCGGCCCCAGTGCATTCTTGATGGGGGGGGGATACCAGGCGGAAGGGGCCTGATCAGCCTCCCACGGCATTGCAGAGGCCGCCACCACTTTCAAAGGAAAAAAACAGGGCCGGTAGGCCCCTATATGTGAAACAAAAGCGGAGGCCCGTCTGGACCGCCGATCTCGAGAGATCGATGGTTTAGATCCGCCACGTTTTGAAAAAGTTTGGTAGGGAGGCAGCTTGTTGTGTCTCATGCAGACCCTCTTCCACCTCACGTGACTTGCCTTCCCCCTTTTGCTGTCGTTCTCCCGTTTGGGATCCTCTCAAGCTCTCATTTGCCTCGCCATCGACTGCATAGGGAGTCTATGGGTCATTGCCTGTCATGGCCTCTGCACGTTTGACAGCACCATCATTGCGTGAGGAGACAGTGCGCAGGCCCTTGCACCATCTTCTTCCATTGCTGCTTGAGGAGACGCATGCCTGCCCTCGCACCACCTCCTCCTCCTCCTCCTCCTCCTCCTCCTCCTCCTCCTCCTCCTCCTCCTTCTTCTTCTGCTCTTCTTCCTCGTCCGAGAGAGAGAGAGAGAGAGAGAGAGAGAGAGAGAGAGAGAGAGAGAGAGAGAGAGAG